GAGCTGCGGCGTTGCGTTTTGCGCACAAAGTCGATTTCGTTATTGCTTCGCCATATCACCGTATTGCAATCTCATCATATCGTCCACATTCAGCCAACAACTGTGCCAATGCAGACATGTGGATGTTGAAATGAATTATTTTAGCGCCAACTGCTTGGAAAATTTTGCCATGATTTAAAGCAATCTGGTGTTATACATGCTTTGCTATTTTGTCAACGTCGTTTGCATTTTCCTTTCTTTCTCCAATTTCGGCCGAACTTCAGTAGCCTACGATAGTCAGTAGCCTTCTTTGAAGAGATATCCTATCCTTTTGTTGTGATCAGGTATTTCTTAACCGATTTCACCAGATTGGTGGATTAACCTGCACATGATCAAGTCTACAGCACAATTTCATTTACTGCCTAATATCTGATACTCCAAGGCAAGCTTTGCATTGGCTGCAGGCTATGGCACATCCAACGGTAATCCTTTCCACCTCGTGTATCGCACCTGCAATTCCTTTGACGTTTGGCAAAGCATTCTCATTCGTATCAACCTCAGTCTTTTCTCCTTGAAAGCAACGAAGCTGCTAATGACTACCATTAGGTTTCCTACTAGGTACTCTAAGTGAGTCTTGTTGTAAAGTAATCAGTGTCCATTTAGATCAGTCTTACGTCCTGGCCCGGTCGCATTCGAACGCGTAGAATGTTATAATGAGAGACAGCCAAAATTACTAAATAACCTGCAGATAGCAAGTCTTTCCGTCCGTCATCCCTAACATTGAACATGCTGAATGGGGAAAAGAAGCACAATGAACTCCGGGTTTCAATAAACTTTTTCAAAATATGGCTATAATCGTTTATCTGACAAAATCTCACAATTTTGCCTTACGTAAGGTGGTCCAAAAGTGATTTACTTAACATTATCATAATTTTAACAAACTGCCCTCAACTGCTTGTGTCTGTGGGGCAATTTATGCATATAGAGAAACGCGGAATTGTACCTACTAAGAATGCATCAAAATAATTTATTTGTCGCAACAAAAAGTTGCGGTTAATCGAACACCCTCATTGCCGTCTGTATTGGTGCGCCTTTTACAAGATTACTTTCGACTGTGTCGATCTTAGCCGATGTTCATTCAGCCGCGAAGCAAGAAACATTAGCTACCTTCAGCTAACAGAAGAGAGTTAAGAGTCGCACCTAAGACAGAAGAGTGGAGGACTAAAACTTTTTCATTATGGCACAACAATACAGCGCTCTGTTAGCAACGTCAGAGATTCGACGTGTATGCCATTTCCATGCCTCTTTAGATATTTCGATGAACGAAAAATATAAATCAAGTCATCGTGTATTTATACTTGAGTGCATATGAACTTCATACCATTTTAGCGGTTGAAACAATGGATCAGTCATCACCCTTGAGGCAGTACTTTTGTATAAACTGAGTTTCTTACACCTTTCATCAAGACCGTAAAGTACATTAAAATAAACATTATTCTGCCTCAACAATCGTCAGTCTTTAGCAAGGGGAACAATTACGCTTACACTCATAACGAAAGAATTTCCGAAGGCACTCTATGTGTTTTCGTAAATCGTTACAAGCATGAATTCAGCCTTTACGAATAAATAACCGCTATATTCAGTCAAAATATGTGATACTTCTCTACGCGCTCG